GAGTTTCGACTGCAGTTGAAACTTGGGATCGTACTGGACTCCAAACAGGCAGTTCGAAATGCATTTACAAACTGCTTTCGTGACTGCGCCCTAGTTACCCCTTTTTTTTATCTCCTTGCTGCTGAGCTGTGTGAGGTCTGAATCTTCTCATGTGTTCCAAGTTTAACTTTGACAATCTTTCACAGAGAAAAACCACTTATAAGTTATAACAATGACCAGCAGTTCGGCGGGATGAATCGGTTCCCCCCCCTCTCCCCCCCCCCAACAAATAACAGCTCCTTATGGTCCACCGGGGCCTCCTAGCTCACTTGGCACACCTATCAACGGTTGAAATGGAGACGTGTTGGGGTGCATCAATCTTGTTCCCTGACGGTCCTGGCTCACTTTCTCCCCCTCCCCCCCAAGTCCAGTGGGAACTAAATGAATGAAATGAAAAAAAAGTTTAAAAACAAACAAACAGGTCCTTAATGGTCCTGGCTCCTTGTCCATTTTTTGGAGAGCATCAGTGTTGCTCCCTTCCCACCGGCAAGTCCAGAAACAACTACAAATTTACAATACATAGCGCACCCCCCCGACGCTTCCTTCTGTCCACGCTGCCAACGGACCCCTGGCCAACCAGTACTGATTACTCCGCAGCGAGGGGTTGACTGTCGGATACCCTGTGCCTCTCCGTTCCTCTCATTCCCACCTTTTTGGTCGGTCCCAGCTTTTTGGCCGGTCCCAGCCTTTCGGCTGGTTGCAGCTTTTTGGCTGGTACTGTCGAATCCGCTCGAGTAACGAGGACTGGACAAGTACAGGAGGTGAACCTTGTACTAACAACCCAGAAACACGGTTTGCTGCGAGCCAAGCAAGGGGGGGGCTTGCTGCCTCCACGGTAGGGTTACACTTCATGTGTGACTTGGGCATGCACGCGCTCCGCTACACAACACTCTACATGCATTTGGGCGTTTTCTGGAGCAAATACATTCAAACGTGTGGGACTCGTCCGAATGCCACTGGTCCAGAAAGCGTCCAAAAATGCATGTAGACATTGTAGAGTGTTGTGAGGTGGAGTGACGCCCATCATGCTGAAGACGTGTTCTCTTTGATAGTACACCCTAAGGGTCTCGCTCCACTACTGTCCGCTGTACAAATTTCTGGACAGTTCACGGACAGCAGTCAGAGAGTTCAAAATCTGGAAAATGCGGCATCGCTGCACTTACTGTCCGCTGTCCACCTCTCAAATTCGTGGCTTCACTACCAGACACAGTGATAGCACTACAAGACAGGACGTCCATAGGGTTTTGTCCGCCCAAACTCCAGGTGCACTCTCCAAATTCGGGTCCTCACGGTGAGTCCCTTGAAGGACTTTCCGGGTAACGAATTTTGCAGGCAGGCTGGGAGCTGTACATTCACGGACAGTAGATTTTCGACCAAGCCATTTTGCACATGTACAGTGGACAGTAAGTGGAGCGAAGTACGACTGTCCGTTTTGTACAGTGGACAGTCGTGGAGCGAGACCCTAACACATCTTTCATTCTTCATCGTGAGCAAACACAACACAAAATAGGCACTGGAAAAAACCTGCAATTGAAAAAAAAAACTGATGTATCACTTGGAAGTCGGAAGTTCAAACCCCCAAAAAAAATGGTAAAAAAACTCGAAAAAAGGGAAAAAATAAAATGAAAACCACAGTGATCAATTTTTTGTTTCAACTTTCAAAAAAAAAAACGACGTGCACTGGCAAAGGGCCTTGCTCCACTACTCACCAAAACAATGTCCAAAGTGAGAATGAATCTTGTGGTAGAACATGCGAGTATACACCGCCATTTTTTTTTGTCTTTTGTGCACGTGGAGAGTAGTGGAGCGAGGTCCAAAGACTACGGTCTTGCATGCCCCCTACATGCTACCTCGGCCCATATACACACACCCCTATCTTAGTATCTTCCCTTGTGGTAGGTTTGCACCACCACAGCTGTGGTGCGAGAGCAAGGCTGTACCAGTCCCTCATCACGGTGACGAGGGGTGGGCAGGCATTGCCGATGGAGGAAACCGGCGGTGCTAGCGCCGAGCAATGGCCAGTCACTGCACCTCCCCCTACCCCCCCCCAACCCCACATGGCGGTTTCTAATGGCCAATGTTGTCGCTGCATAGCAGCCAACAACATCAGCCAAGGTCCTGCCAATGCTGGCTTGAGGGGCCAACGGGTTATCTCTAGCAGGTAGAACACCAAGCTTGCCCAGGCACGTACGTGAGGCCAATGGGGATTGAACCCACGACCTCATGAATGCAACTTCTGTGCCTTACCAACTGAGCTAGGCTGCAAGCCTACCCCGTGGGCTGGGGAGAGATCCGGGTTGGTTGGTGTTCCCCCGTACTATAAATAGACTAGTGAGAGGATGAGATAGATGCGTACTACCAAGAAAGATGAAATAGATTGAGAGAAGAATATAGATTACTTAAAAAAAAAAAAAAAAAAAAAACAGTATCTTCCCTTGTTGCGCACTTTGCAGGTGGTTGGCCTTCCACTTATCTTCCTCTTCTGTCGTCTTGTCTTCCACATGTTGCCCATCCAGGCTATGTGATTTTTTTCCAAAAAAAAAACATGAAACGTATGTGATTTTTTATTTTAAATTCCGTAACGTTTTTGGATATGACCACAAGGCAAACGTTGTTCAGTATATTTTTCTGCATAACATTTTTTTTTTCAGAA